ATGATATTTTCAAACCACATTCGCTGGCAAATTATTGAAAAAAATTTAGAAGGCCTTTCAACTCGAAAAATTGCAAACCACTTAGCAGATCTTCTATAAGTTGGGTTCTTGTGCATTTTCAAAGATACGGCTGTATTGAAAAACTTTCATCGCTTTCAGGAAAACCACGTTCTTTAAACATGAATGATATAAATTATCTTCAAATTTTAATAAAAGAAAAACTTTGGTTGGGATGTAATATTAGTCTTACAACAATTTGGACCAACTTGGATATACGCACAAAAAGATAATATTTTATATATTTATACATAATTTTATTTTATAAACTTTTAACAATTTTATAAAAGGCTCTTTTGTATTAATAGCTCCTGATTCAGGTTCTTTCATATTAATAATATCCAATTCAGGATCTTTTTCACTATTAATTTCTGAATCAGTTGTATTTACTTCAGACAAGTCAGGTAACTCGAAAGTATTTGTCATGGACGATGAATGTTCTTTAATTGTTAGATCTACTGTTTCGCTTTGATTGTGTTAATCATAATTTTTACCGCATTTTCAACAAATATTAATTAAGTCTTGATCTTTGGAATTTCGACTTTAGATGAATTTTTAGTCCAATCAATGAATTCTTGATCGTATTTAACTTTTTTAATATTAGCATCTATTTGTGTAATATATTTACTATAAAAGCTAATTTGATATCTGGAGCCTTTTTTATATTTCTTGTTACAATCTTTTCCATAAACTTTTACACAAGTTAAACATTGGGCAAGCGTTTAACCAAAATTTTAATAATGTTGATATTATAATAATAAAATTATTTGTACGTAGAACAGATATTATATTTATTATAATAATTTTTGAAATTGGACCAAAAATGTAATTTAGAGTAGATATTATATCAATATTACAGTAAATTAAAATTGAACAAATTCAAAAATATATTTTTTATATACTGATTATTCCGAAAAAATTACCGGCCAAAAATTTTTTTTGGCTAATTTTTTATAGGTGTCCCAGGAATAATGAAAACAGCTGTAATATCTAATAAAACCAGTAAACTTTTTTAATTCCAGAAATTTTACAGTTATGGCATAGCAAATTTCTATTTTAGCTAATTACTGCAAGGTTTTTTTTTATGCTGCATGTGGCTACTTCTCTAGGTCTAAATTAGACCGATAACAAGTAATAAAACATGTATGACACATCTGCATATACATATGCCTCCTATATTTTTAGATCATATTCTATTCTGATTATATTTTTGTGACAGGCTTAGGTGAATTTGCCCAAAATCTTTGCAGGAATGTATAAATGATTTTTTTTTATATACCACATTATCTTAAATTTTATCAACACTTTTTTTACTTATTCTGATTAATTACCGTTCTTTTTTTGCAGGCAGTGGTCTAGGATATTAAACACTAAAAGCACCACCAGTTAGTTATATATTGAATTATTTTTTTTCTGCTTCTATTAATATCAGTTTAAAAAGATGTCATGCTATAATAAAGAATATAGGTTGAAAAAAGAAAAAGTTTAACTTTACAGTAAACCATTATCTATACCATTATCGCCTCTACCATTGCCTATACTATCTTCTATACCATTATTGTCAATACCATAATCACCTATAGCATCGTCTATAAATATTTTTTTTTGACCAGAACTGGGTATATATCATCTCTAATTCTCGCCAGTGCTAGGTTTTTTTTGTGTTGATAGAACAATCATCTAAGTTATTTGTACATATATACTTATTCATGCAAAAAATTGTTGCAATAGCAACTAGAGCCTCTGTCTAATATATGTTATGAGACTCAACGGGCTCATAATCATTATTTAATGGCTCAGTACTTAAACAAACAAATAATCTATATACTATCTATTTTTTATTTATAGCTAAGTTAAATTAACATATTTTTGTAATTAAAACCACATATCTTTTATGAGAAATCAATTTATTTAGGTATATCTGTCACAGAGTTATCCAAACTACCATGTATTTGTGGGTCTTTACTATCAGTTTACACTCGCCTGGCAATATATGATGACTGGTGTATCGTACCAGATACTACCACCAATATGACACTAAGATACAGTTTATTCACTAAGAATACTTTAATGAACTCAAAGTTATCCAGTCCAAAGACTGTTTCATTCTTTATTACATTTTAATATTTTAAGCGATTCAAAACAATTACATACTTTGTACTACAGCTTGACTATTTCTTTGTTATTAATTAATTAAACTTTTCATTGTTTCCAACTCAATCGTCATATTCATGCAATCTTGTATGTACCACCCCACATCTTGATTTACCTATAATTCCGATCAATCATGTGGTCACATAAGTTAATCAATTTATACTTTCATCCATTCTTCTTTCTTCTTAATTTACTAACCCTTTATCCTCAATTAGTATACCTTTTACTAGGCATAAAGGTCTTCAGAAACTATGCGACAATACCTTTTATGAATCTATTGGCTGATGGGCTAGTAATTTAAGAAGCCAACAATATAATGAGCAGATATATTCTATATAGTTTAAACAAATTACATAATTTGTCTCTTAAATAATTTGAATAGTCCCTTCTATAGGTTGCTTTTAAACATAATATAAATATAGATCAAAGTTTATCTTTTATCTCTCAAGCTCGTGCTTGCGGTCTTAAAGCTCCAGTGCTTTTTATAGACTATTATAATCTAATGCTAATTTATGATGAAGAAAAGCTTATAAGAAATGTAAAAAGAATAAAGTCAATAGCTTTATTTACCACCAGAAGAATTTAATCATTGATGCGAACTTTGTTCTTAACATGGGTATTATATATTTTTTTCTTAACTTTTTTTCTTATAACTATGTTAATTTTTAACTATTCTACCTTTTTATAATATATTAGTCTTGGTTATATACCTTTTATCGCCTCTTCAACTACAGAGACGCATATTCAATATCTTTCAAATATTTTTAACTCTTTTATTTATATTATATCAAGAATGGGAGCAACAGGTTTTGTTCTGAAGTCAATAATAACTGTCTAATTTGATCAGCAAAGTTTGCAAATACACCAATATTTCTCTTGTGATTTGTTTTAGTGTTTCTACTAGAGAACCTTTTCAATTTGTTGTATTACATGCCAATGCCATAGTCATTGGTACTAAAATTGTTGATGTTTTAAAAAAGGCTAGTATATATATTTAATCAATTTAATTTTGTAGTCTAGTTTTTAAATGAAACTATAAATAGTGCTATTAATTTAAATCTTGTATCTACATTTAATTGTCTAGAAAAGGAAAATGTACTAAAAGTGTAAAAGCATATACTTTAGAAGTATGTCTGGATATAGAGATGAAGATATAAGATACTTTTGATACACTCTATTATATATTTAAGTTATTTGCTAATTTTTTTTTAGAGTTGACTACATGTATGTGAATATGGATTAAAATATTCAAAACAATTGTGTAAAAGCCAATATGATGAAAACCGATATATATATCTTTAAATTTCGCATAAATCTAACTGAATTTTTTTTAATAGATATTAATATGTATAATTATTTTGTTTTTTTAGAGAAGTGTACCTTATATTCTTTCCCCACAGTATGAAAATTTTAATTATTAATAATGATAATGTACATATTTGTATAACAACTGATAATTATTTATTGCATATGAATTATAGATATAAAAGAAATTTCTTTTTTATATTGAATTTAAGCAAAGCAAGCAAAGCTAATTTTTTAAAATTTATAAAACCTCTGAATTTGTATAGTAGCATACAATTATTTTGTTCCTGGAAGAGCATGAAGTGGACTAACTTCATTTTGGCTTTCTAGAAGCTATGAATGCATAAGAATTGTAGAAGAAATAGTTTTTTCACTAAGATTTGCTTTATTATGAGTAACTATGAAGCCTGCTCTTGAAAATGCTCTTTCACTAGCAACACTTGAGAGCTAAATACTGAGATAATCACATGCCATATCACCAAGAATTGGAAATCGTTTTGATAATGATTTTCAACAGGAAAGTCTATTATTTTCATCATTACTTCTAATTTCTTCAGGAGGTTCTCTTTTATACAATATTAATTCATAACCAACTGTATTAATATTATAAGAAGGTCTTTTTAACATGCATCTTTTAGGAAATGATGTATCAGATAAAGAATTATTATGATCAACTCCGACAACTTCAACGGAAGATGATTGTATATTGGTATTTGTATAATTTGCACCATATTGAATTATTATTTGTCGAATATTATTGACAAATTGTTCTGCAGCCAATTCACTATACTCGCCAATTTCAATTAATGTTGTCTTCAAATGTTCCATCTTGTATCTTGGATCAAGAACATGTGCGATTATAACTTGATCAATTATTTTATTCCAATACTTATCAAACTTTCTTTTCATTAACTGAATTGTATTATTATTATTATTATTATATCTAGCCTTACGAATATATTGTGAAATTTCTAATATTACTGTTAGAGCATCAGATATTGAATTTGACTTGTCTTTTGAAAGAACTAATGTAGCAGCTTCGAATAGCTTAAGAAGCTGACAAACTGATTTAAGCTCTATTAATTCTTCTTCTTCTAAGCAGGAAGGTATTGACGACTCTTTTAAATACATTTCATTAATTGCCGGATGCAAAAAATATATTTTTCGAACATTGCTAGTGTCGAATTCCAATGAGTGTCGATTTCAAGAATTGGCTGTAAAAAATTTATATGGACAACATGGCAATATGAAGCCAATAAACTCAACCAACCACTTGCTAAGGGATTTGCTAGATATTTCATTATTTTATGTATTTTTTTATGAAGTTCACTTATTCTTGCTAATCCAGCTTTAATAATTAGATTTAAAATATGGCACATGCAGCCAATTGATATAATATTGTTATTAGGTAATTCACTTTGAATAATTCGACTCACGGCCTTGTTAGTTGTAGTATTATCTATGGTGATTGCAAAAAATTTTCCTTAATATTATAATTATCTAATATTTTAACTATTACAGATTTTATATCAATGGCTGTTTGTTCTGACTCTTGGAAGTTTAAAATAATATTAACTATCTCCCAATCGGTACTTATCCATGATACTGTAACAACCATATAATGGCATTTGTGGACAGTCGAATACCATCCATCATAGGTAAAAGAAATTTTGCTTGAAGTTTTTGCTAATGCCTCTTTTACAAACTCTAATCTTTTATCAAAAATATTACCAGATAAATGTCGAGACACTGTTGTTGAGTGGGGAATCTTGTAAGAATGAGTTACACGATAAAGTTTTCTTGCCATTCTGTGAAATAATGGGCTATCAATAACATTAAAAGATATTCCAGTCCCAATAACTAAATCGACTATTGAATCATCCATATCATCTCTTGACATAGGTCTATTATGATTATCGTCTACGAAATTGCTAGAACAAGATAAGGTATAGTTTTTTAGATATGTTCTACTAGTATTACAAGAATATACTTTATTTTGACAGTGCAAACATCTCCACGATTTTTTATTATTATGTATTACTTCTATCCAATGATCTTTGGTTTTAAAAGTATTATTTATTTCTACTCCACTATTATTTTGCAAGAAGATATCAGTATTAGAATCATTTTGTGTTAAGGCATTAAAAGTGGAATCATTATGTGATAAATTATCTGAAATATAATCATCAGAATATGTTAAGTCATCCATTAGAATGATAATATTGATAAAAAACAATGTGGGAATAAGAAATGATGTGAAAATAAGAAAAAACTTAATAACATTTAGAAAAAAATCAATTCAAGACAAAAAACAATTCAAGATAAAAAACAATTTGAATTGGTATGCTTTATTAGTAAATTTTTTTTTTTTTTTTAATATTAAGGTGACCACTTAGGCCCTTGGCACTTTATTAGTACAAGCGGTAGGCCAATG